GGGGGGAGCCAAGAACCTGCCCCAAGGGGCAATTCCACCCCTGACACCCTACCCACCCTCGCAGGACCCCTTGGCCAGCTATGACTTTAACGACTATGATCCAGACCCCCAGCCAAGATACACACCCAGTAATGAGAACCGGTCAGCAGGGTCACGGGGGTTGTGGGCAGCACCCTGTCCTGTGGGGGCAGTCGGGGTGTGACAGGGCCTCTCACACCAGACACGGGACCCGCTGTGCCGGGGAGGTGGCTGCCATCGCCAACAATGGGTTCTGTGGCATCGGCATTGCCTACAACGCCCGGATCGGAGGTGCCCAGGTCCCCGGGGACCAGTACAGCCAAGGATGGGGGTGATGTCGGGGAGGGGATTCTTCACACCAGGCTTGGGGCCCTGGCCTAAGAGCTGGGACTCCCCAAGCGCCCCAGGGGCAGAGAGAGGGTCCCAAGGCAGGGGTGGGATGGAGTTAGCCTGGAAGGGGGCATAGTCCTGGGTGGTGGTGGGTTGGGTGCTGTGAGGGCTTGGCCATCTACTGTGGAGTGGGGGCTGAGATCATGGGTGGGGTGGGGTAGGTACTGATGGCCCACAGTGGGGTACATGCCTGGGGAGTAGGGGTAAGGTGAGGTAATGGGTAGAGGGGATGCAGGCTCAGGCAGAGGGTGTAGGCTGGGGCAGTGGGTGCGGACTGGCTGGTGGGATGGGCTAAGACCCTGGGCGGGGCCAAGCCTGCATTGCCTCAGGTGGGAGGCTGACTCAGCCGTGGCACCCAGGGGTGCGCATGCTGGACGGCACCATCACCGATGTCATTGAGGCCCAGTCGCTGAGCCTGCAGCCGCAGCACATCCACATCTACAGCGCCAGCTGGGGCCCCGAGGACGACGGCCGGACGGTGGATGGGCCAGGCATCCTCACCCGGGAGGCCTTCAGGCGCGGTGTAACCAAGGTGCACGGGGTGGGGGGTGGGGGGGGTAGTGGGAGGCGGGGAAAGGACCGTGCCTTCATGGCGCCCACCCGTGCCTGCTCCCTCAGGGCCGCAGTGGGCGGGGCACCCTGTTCGTCTGGGCATCTGGCAATGGCGGGTTGCACTACGACAACTGCAACTGCGACGGCTACACCAACAGCATCCACACGCTGTCTGTGGGCAGCGCCACGCAGCAGGGCCTGGTGCCCTGGTACAGCGAGGCCTGCGCCTCCACGCTCACCACCACCTACAGCAGCGGAGTGGTCTCCGACCCCCAGATCGTGAGTGTCTCCTGCCCACCCCTGCCCTCCTGCCCCCACCTCCTCCTTGCACCCAGCCCTCCCTGTGCCACCACCTTCCCTCTTGCTCCCCAGTCTCCCCCTGTGCCCACCCCTCCCCGCACCTTCACATTCACTATCGCTTACAGCAGTACCCCAGATCACGAATGCCTCCCACCAACCCGCCCTATGCCCACTGCATCCCTCCTGTGCCGCAACACCTCCCTGCCCCCACCCCTCCATGTACCCACTCTCCCTCCCACTCCTGACCCCGCCCTGTACCCTGTTCCTTCCATCCTCCCCTACCCCAACCTGGTACCTACCTCTGCTCCTGCCCCACCACAGTGGCATGTCTACAGAGCCATGCCCACAGGGATGTTCCACAGGGATGTGTCCACAGGGATGTGCCCACAGGGATGTGTCCACAGGAATGTTCCACAGGGATGTGCCCACAGGGATATTCCACAGGGATGTGCCCACAGGGACATGTCCACAGGGATGTTCCACAGGGACATGTCCACAGGGATGTGTCCACAGGGATGTGCCCACAGGGATATTCCACAGGCGTGTGCCCACAGGGATATTCCACAGGGGTGTGCCCACAGGGATATTCCACAGGGGTGTGCCCACAGGGATATTTCACAGGGGTGTGCCCACAGGGACGTGTCCACAGGAATGTTCCACAGGGACATGTCCATAGGGATGTGCCCACAGAGATGTGCCCACAGGGATATTCCACAGGGACATGCCCACAAGGACGTGCCCACAGGGATGTGTCCAGAAGTCACTTTAGAGCTCTCACTTAGTCACCCTGTGCCTCGCCTCTGCATGAGCACTGTGACTGCCCTCCCTGCCTGTGGGCCATCTCTCACCTGTGCTCCAGCTCCCTCCCACCTCCAGGCTGCTGCCCAAGCTGTCCCCTCTGCCCCAGCACGTCTTCCCACCCTGCCTTGCTGAGCCCTCCACCCAACTGCCACCTCCAGGAGCCTTCCAGCATGTCTTTCCACACTGGCTGGTCCTCACTGTGAGCCTGGTGCCAGACACAGGCTCGAAGCTGCAGAGACGTCAGCCCTCCCTGCAGCTCGCTGCACACAGCCCAGCCCAAGGCCTCGCTACAAGGGGCCTGCCCGCCCTACATCCTGCCACCTGGGGATCAGCTGGTGCTGACAGTTATGCACTGGGAGGCTGACCTCAAAGCCGGTGCTTTAAGCTCACTGGATGCTCTGTAGAAGAAAGATGGGCCCCTCCTGCACTTCTGTGGCCATTTACAGCCTCGGAAACCCACAGGGGAGGTTCTGCTCTGGCCTAGAGCCAAGATGTGGCGAGATGCACACAGAGGCAGGGGAGTGGGAGGTGGTGTGCAGGTGGTGGGAGCGGGGGCCTGCACCATGGGCTCTGTGGTGAGGTGTGCAGGAATCCAGCCACCAGCCCTCCCTTGCCAGGAGTCATGGGTGGTCTGCAACCACCATCCTCTTAATGGACAGCAGCGTGTGAACTGCAGGCTCTCGGGTTTGCAGCTGTGAAGAACCAGGTGGTCCTGGCTGTTCCTAGCACCACCAGCAGACTGGTAGTAGAGCTGGTTAAGCCCCCGGCTCCTGCCTGACAGAGTGGTTTCAGCCCACCTGTGGCTCACGGAGCATGGTAAAGGCATCGCGTCACATGCCCCTCATAACACGGTCCTGCCCTGGAAACGCCAGTGCTTCCCGCTTCCCTCCTGCCCTCCCTCCCTCCCCCCCTCTCCCTGCACCCCTGGGGACCCATCTCAGGCTTTGCAGTGGTCCTTCCCTGGGACTGCACAGTAGCCCCGGGCAGGGTATGGGACGCCCTTTTGCCCCGTCCCCATCTGCCCACAGGTCACCACAGACTTGCACCACCAATGCACGGACAAGCACACGGGGACATCAGCCTCGGCCCCGCTAGCTGCAGGCATGATCGCCCTGGCACTGGAGGCCAAGTAGGTGGTGCCCTGCCCTGCCCCTACCCCCTGCGTGGCCCCCGCTCACCTGCCCCAACCACCCCTCCCAGCCCACTCCTGACATGGAGGGACATGCAGCACCTGGTGGTCCGCGCATCCAAGCCAGCGCATCTGCACGCAGAGGACTGGAGGACCAATGGCGTGGGTCGTCAAGGTGTGGCGGGGGTGGTGCTTGGGGCCTGTGGGGGTGTTGAGGCAGGCCACAGGGCAAGGCCTGTGCTGGTGGTAGAGGGAGGATGGGAGCCCCAGGTCGGAGTCCTGGCCAGTGATTCCCTCCTCCTGTATCACCAGTGAGCCACCACTACGGCTATGGGCTGCTGGACGCTGGGCTGCTGGTGGACCTGGCCCGAACCTGGCAGCCCACGCGGCCCCAGCAGAAATGCACGGTCAGCGTCGTGTACACCCCCACGTGAGGCCCTGCCCTTCGCCAAACCCTGCTGGACACACCCCTCAGCCCAGCTCCCTCTGCCTGTCCTGCATACCGTATGCCTCCCTGGCCTCTTCAGAGACCTGTGACCCTCACATCTGTCCCAAGCCCACCCCTCTCACCTGCTACCTCCAGCCTGCTCCACCCACCTGCCTCCCCCCAGGTGTCCCCACAACTGTTCCTCCCTTCCCATACCCTTAACACCTTGAAATAAGTAGGTGGTGCCCATCTCAGCACCCACCCTCCCTGCCCATCGCACCCTGATGCTCTCACGCCCTGCCCCTCCAGCACCATCACGCCCCTAATGCGGGTGCCCACGAACGTGTCGGCCTGCATGGGCCTCCCCAACTCGGTCCGCTCGCTGGAGCATGTGCAGGTGCGGCTGTCGCTGTCCTACAGCCGCCGTGGTGACTTGGAGATTTCCCTCACCAGCCCCATGGGCACTCACTCCACACTCGTGGCTGTCAGGTAGCATGCCCACTGTTTTGGGGGGCGGGGTCTCGCAACCTTGCCGGGCCACCCCTGTGGCCTCCTGGCTTTCTTAGCGACACTTCCACACCCACCTGCCCATCTGCCCAAGGCCCTTTGACCTCAGCGGCCAAGGCTACAACGACTGGATCTTCATGTCCACGCACTTCTGGGACGAAGACCCACGGGGCACGTGGACCCTGGTGCTGGAGAACAAGGGCTATTATTTCAACACCGGTGAGGCCTGAGGCCACGAGAGGGCCCAGGGCTGCCCTCCCTGTGAAAGCTCCTCCCACGATCCACCCAGAGAGACACTGCTTAGGCACTGTCAGGGCACAGTGGGCAGGAGGCTGGGGGCGGCCCCTGGGGGGCAGGAGTGGGGCTCCAGGGGTGGCTGAGGTATCGGGTGCATGCTAGGGGGTAGGGAATGGGCCGTGGGGCCCTAAGGGCAGCTGGGAGCAGGGTGCCAGGCTGCTGACCCTCAGTGGGTTGTGTGGCTCCCAGGGGACGTGGCTGTGCAGTTTGTGGGGACAAAGGCTGCATCACAGGCACAAGTGCAAGGCTGTGGGGCAGTCACGGCGCCAGTCTGCCTCCTCCCCATCCCCATGTCCTGGGCTCTAGGGTAGGGTGCTGGGGAGAGGGCCCAGGCCGCTGAGGACATGACCATCAACATGAGGCCTTGTGGCCTTGGCCCCTGTCCAGGGACGCTGTACCACTACACCCTGCTGCTCTACGGGACGGCAGAGGACATGACGGCACGGCCCATAGGCCCCCAGGTGACCAGCAGCGTGTGCGTGCGGCGGGACACAGAGGGGCTGTGCCAGGGTGAGTGCCTGGCGGGGAGGCGGCGGCAGGGGCGGTGTGTGTGTGCACCCACGCAGGGGCCGGCAGGGTAGCTGGGCCAGCGGGGGTACGGGCGAACCCTGGTCTCTGTCCCCTGCACAGAATGCCACAGCCCTGCCTACATCCTGGCACACCTCTGCCTACCCTCCTGCCCCCCGCGGTACTTCAACCACACTCAGCAGGCAGTGAGCCCCGCACCTGGGCGCCCGGCCGTACCTGCCAGGCGGGTCTGTGCCAGTTGCCACCCGTCCTGTTACACCTGCCAAGGCAGCTCCTCCCTCCACTGCACCGCCTGCCCCCCCTTGCACACTCTGGACGAGCGCGGCTCCTGCTGGGGACCTGCCGCCTCGGCCCACCACCCGCTGCCCGCCGCTGGCCAGCCCAGTCTGGCCCGGGCCATGCTGCTGGCCCTGCTGGCTGTGGCCTTCAGAAGGCTGGCCCTCAGCAGCATCCTCCCTGTGGGCCCGCCCCCAGCCTGAGCACCCTCCCACACCTGGCCAGCTGGAACTGTGAGTGGGACATGAGACAGCGGACAGCAAGACGTGGGCCTGGACCTCAGCCCCAGGGGGGCCCTGCCACCCCCTGTGATTGGCCCTGGAGGGTAGCCTGTCCCCAGAAGGCCAGGGGTGGCAGCTGGGTTCTGAGCATGGCAGCCTCAGGTGAAAGAAGGAATAATCAGGAGGAGGAGAGGGGGAGGGGGAGGGAGGGGGGTAGGCAGAGGCTGACCAGGATGGTGGGTACAGGGAGAGGGGGGAATATGGTCCCAGACAAGGGGTCTGCCCCCTGAGTTTGTGAATAAAGATTGAATGAAATGTGCCCAGTCCAAGGTGAACTTTGGGGCAGGGCTGTCCCTGCTTGGGGGTTCCCCAAGTTCTGAGCCACACCTAGAAACTGTCTTTCAAATGCTCGGTTTATTCACTGCAAACACATCAAACAATCTAAACTATTACTCAAACTACTAGGGGCAAACAACTATGAGCATAATATGGGCATAATAACAAATGAGCAAACTATGGGCATAATAACAGCATTCTTCACGCATTTCATACTAGCACCATAGTCCCAATAAGCATTGCCTCATCAGTGTGCTCACCCTGGGTAGAGTTGGAGAGAGCAGGAGTTGATGTCTCGCTGGTTCCTAGCTCTCTAAAAGTCAGTGTCTCTGCCCGGGTTTAAATGGACAGCTTGGCTGGCTCTTTGACGTAGTCACTGTCCCAGTCAAGTCTTACCGGGTCTCTCCACGCTTTAGGTGACTTGGCTGGCTTTGGGGGGGTCAGTCAGGTCTCAGCCCAGGCTTATCAGGGGTCCTCGCATCTTTGTGGTGGCTCCTTGGAGCAGCTGTTGATTTGGGCCCCAAGGTCACACTTTATTTCTTCTCTAAAGTGGAGTTTCTTGTGTTTGTTTCTTTGAGGTGGCTCAACGTCTTGCAAGGAAGTTCGATGGAGCTCTCATTACTTTCCCCCAGGGAATCAGTGCCTGAAGGACCCAGGAGCGGTGGGAGGACAGGCAATGGGTCGGATGGGGGGCGAGGTGCAGGGCCGTGAGAAGCAAGCTTCTAAAAACACGTCCTGCTGTGGACACTGCCCAGCAAGTGCAACCAGGGACTGTCTCTGACATGGGTTCGATCCATGTCTCCCTGTAGCAGCAGCAGGCTGAGAGCCAGCAGAAGGCACAGCCCCTGTTCTGAGCAGAGGTTGGGCCTAAGGGGGTGGGGGAACCCACTGGGAGTCAGGGAAAAAACAGGGGGGGCTCTTCTGGCAGCTGGGGACACGAGGGGTCTCTGCTGACTGGGGACACGAGGGGCTCCACTGGGGGCTGGAGCTGGCTGCAGGAGACATTGGTGTCTGAGAGGAATCGGGGACAGGCAGAGGTGGCAGGTCCAGGCTGTGTCCCTCGCCGCAGCCTGCCCACCTAGAGGAAGTAAATACCCAGGAACCGCCAGCTTGTCCAACTGCCATGGAAGAGTCGCCAGTTCCTCAAACCCTGATCACCCGGTGACCACAAGACACAGCCATCCTGCTGAGGGTTCTGCCCCAGACGCCGAAGCAAGCGCATGCCCGCATGGCCACACACAGCACCTACTGTCATGCGCGGCCCTTTTAAGAGAGGCGGGACTTCGCCGTTAGGCGCGGTAGGAGGCGACCGGAAGTTGGTGTCACGTGTCCCGAGGGGCGGGGCGGCCCGACCGGAAGCCGAAGCGGCCGGCTTTGGATGCCCAGCCCGCGGGCGGCAGAAGCAGTGCTTCCGCGGGTAAACTGAGACTGGTCCCGAGCCAGATACTGAAGCCAGAGCCACGTGAGCTCTCGCGGACCGCGTGGGGCTTCGGCGGGTGTGTAGGAGTTCGCGGGGCACCCAGAGGCCCGGTCGAGCCAGCGTCCCCCTGCAGCGATGAGCTCCAAGGCCAAGAAGCGCGTGGTGCTGCCCACGCGCCCGACGCCACCCACGGGGGAACAGGTGCTGGAGGACGTGCGGGGGGCATCGGCCGCGGACCCCGTCTTCACCGCCCTGGCCCGTCTGGGAGGTAGGAGAGCGAGTGGGCACGGTGTGGGATCCACGACCCAATTCTCTTGCCTCCAGCACCCCGCAGACCCGTCTCGGACCCACGCTGTGCCCTCGGCCACCGCCCCTGCCCCTGGGGAGCTCTAACCCCGGAAGCCCAGCCCCGGCGCTTCTACTCAGCGCCCGAGTTTCCATGGAGGGGCAGACAGCTTATCCTCCTCCCGCAGGGTGGCTGATGGGTTTGAACCGTGGACCTTGAGGTCAGCAGCCCGCGTCTGACCTGCTGACCACCGGGTCTCTTGCAGTGCGAATGGTTAATGTGCCGGGCTGCTAACTAAAAAGCTGGCGGTTCGAAGCCACCCAGCGAGACGGAGTGCCGATCCACATCTGGAGAGTCAGCCGGTGGCAAAACTGGCAGAGGGTGTGGAAGGGACTTCGGACAGTTCTGCCACTCCTTAGTCCCAGTCTTCCACGAACCAGGGGCATTCCACAGCCCTCCTGAGGACGCCTGTGTCCGAGAGCCAGAGAGGCGTGGGGCTCTGCGGGAGGGGCACTCTGCCCTGAGGGAATGGGCCCCTGTGGGATGCAGGAACACACACACACACCCCGACCCCAGCTGCCATCGAGCCCAGGCTTTCTCCCGCAGAGCGCCTGATGGATATGAACTGCTGACCTTGCTGTTAGTAGCCCAGCGCCCAACCCCCTGCGCCACCATGGCTCCTTAGTGGGAGCCCAGCAACTGCTTTTGCAGTTTTATTGCGGATGCCCTCCCACTCACAAATCCAAACACACCAACCACGTAGCCTTTCGCACTGGCTTAGAAGATGGAGTGGGGCTGCCTGCCAGGTGGGTGGGCACCTTTTGGGTTTGCTTTGTGGGGGTCATACCCGCAGCAAGCCTGCACTGACCCCTGTGTGTGTGTGACTTAGAGAGCTGAACCAAGGAAAGTAAAAGGCTGTTGGGTAAAGGGCCTTTGGTGGTGGTGTACACACGAAGTGCTTTTGGTGGTGAGACATACCAACACTTGGTGGGAAAGGCCTGCTGGTCTGCTCCCCAAAAGGTGAGCTGGATCTCGACTCCCTGTCAGCTGGTGTGAGCCACCTGTGCTGAGGGAGCTACAGAAACACACACACAGGTCCCTAGGGCCCTGTCACCTGGTAGAGAGGAGACTGACCACAGGGCACCCACAGCAGTTGCAGAGCAGCAGGGAGAGTGGAGGTTGGAGCGGCTGCACGGGCAGCACCACGTCCAAGGTCAGAGGGCACGTGCCTCTGTGTACTGCTACCCTGGGCACTGAGGGTGCTGCAGAAACACGTGGGCCCCCAGCTGCTTTCCTCAGGTTGCCGCTGAGGTCAGCAGGGTGGCCTACACTGGCAGATGGATGCCCCACTGACGGCAGGCATGTACTTCTAGGTTCTGTTGATGGGAGTCCCCCTTGCTCCGGAGCCACATCCAGAAAGTTCTGTCAGAGCTTTGGCCCTTCCCTCAGACAGTGTTAGTCTTTATGTGATTGACTGTTATCCAGCCAAGCCACGCCAGGTGGTGTCTGGCAGTTTCCCTAATAGTACTGTGTGGATGGAGCCCTGGGGACGAGCTGGGTAGCTGGGGTCAGCAGTTCGAGACAACAAGCCATCCGCCAGAGGAATGTGCTTTTCTAACCTCGTGGAGAGCTATAGCCTCAAACCCACAAGGGCAGTTCTGCCCCAACCTCTAGGGTCGCTGTGAGGTTTATGGAGCACAGCTTTGCTTTGTCACACGGACCTCATGATGCCTGAGTCTGGTCCCTGGTGCCTTGGCAGTGACAGCGTTGTTTCTCCCCAGACTTTGCAGGCCCTGCCGGGAGGCTGGAAAACCCAGAGGCACAGCAGGGCCTCCTCTACCAACAGAGCCAAGCCTATGTGGCCACCAACCAGCAGCTGCAGGACGCAGTCGAGGAGCTGAGGTGCAAGTGTGAGGGCCTAAGGAGGGCGGGCACGGAGCTGGAGCGCAGCGTCGAGCAGGTGGCGCAGACAGCCCTGCCCACAGCCTCCCCCTCAGGCTGACCACCCCCACCGCAGCAGGAAGGGCAGGGAAAGCGGTAGTGTGGCCTTCACCTGGTGAAGCGGCAGTGTGTCCTGCCCGCCTACAGAAGCGCCCACGTGCAGTACCTGGTTTATGAGTTCACACCTGCCCTCCTGACCCCACGGGTGCTTTGCCCCTCACCCTCAGAACCGGCTCCCTGGTCCCAGCAGCCGGTACCAGGTGCCCCATGTCCAGTGCCCCCATGCTGCTGGGACCTAGAGTCACAGGGGACAGAGCCTACCCAGGCTGCAAGTGTGTGTGTGTGGGGGGGGGCTGCTAGAGGGCCCATGCTCATCCTGGCTGCTGTGGCTTATCCAGCCTGTCGACCGTTGTTGGGGTGGGCCCCTGTGGAGGCCATCCTTCTTTAGGCCACCGGTGTGTGCCCAGGACGACTCCTCTGGGACGCCCTGCCAGCTTCTTGTCCTTCCAGATGCCTCTGGAGTCATTGCAGGCTCAGTGTGTGCCCAGGAAGGGACCACGTCTGCAGACCATCACCATCACCCGGGGAGTGGGAGCTGCCTTGGGGACCCCCTGCTAGAGGCCCTCAGAAAGGGCCTGTCCCCTCACAAGGGCTTCTGCCCCCAGCTGCCTGTGTGACTGCTGATAGCTGCTGTGCCTGGCCCTGCCCAGGACTGCCCCTCTTTGTCCCCTACCCCACTGTCACCTGGACAGACACCCTCCCTGGCCTGCAGGTGGAACTGATGTTGACCTCACTCCTCCCCCAAGCCCACCCTCCCACCTGCGCCCCCTGTTCCAGGGACTTCAGCCAAGGCGGCCACTATGGAGACCCTCACTTTGAATTCAGAGAAGTCGAGCGAGCTGGTGACCAGAGGCTTGGGGTCTGATTTCTGTGGGGTGTGCCTCCAGGTGACCCAGCTGTGCCCCCACCCACCCACCCACCCCAATCCCCGGGGTGGGCTGAGCCAGTGACTGACAGATATGGGCGTGCAAAAGCCCCCAGACTCACAGAGGAGCTGATTCTGGGGTGCAGTTCAGGCTGCGGATGTCTCACCGCCCGCGCCACCCGCCACGCTGTCCTCCAGATAATACCGGAAACCGAACCCCCTGTGGTGGAACAGCGGCTGACTCACAGCGCCCCTATAGGACGAGGCCGGAACTGCGCCGAGCACCTCCAAGGGTGCCAGTGGAAGCGACGCTTCCTTCTTCTCACTGCTGCTCCTCCCACAGCTGCCGGGTTCCAGCCATCAGCCTCCCGGTTCACACCCCAGAGCTCGACCGCTGCGCCACGAGGGCCCCTTCCTTCTCCCAGACACCCCAATAAAACGTCACCCCAAGCCCTGTCTTGAGCTCTGCTTCTGGGCTCCCCACCCCAGACAGGGACAAAACCACCACCTCGTAAGGACAGTACAGCGAGGCCCAAGTAAAGTGGTTCTTGAGGGTGTACAGGCAGAGGGTCACACCCCGCACCATGGCCTGAACAGCTCCCTGTTCTGCTCCAGGTGGCAGCGGCTGCCTGGAGTCTCTGGGAGATGAGTGCGGCAGGCCCTGGGGGTCCCCAACCCCACCATGGCAGGGACAGACAGGTCTGTCAGCAGCAAGTCCAACAGCGTGTTTATTGAAGGTGCACAGGAGTCCAAGCCCAGTCTGCCTGGATGGGGGGTGGACATTATTTACAGTGTGTGAATAAGGTGTGGGCCCTGGCAGGCCGGGGCAGCAGGCAGTCCAGCATGAGGTATGTGTTGGCTGCGCCAGCGGCCACAGTGCCCTGACGTCAGCACCCAGCAGCAGGTAGGTTAGGGGGGTTGTACAGCTGCGGGGTCAGCCGTAGACCCCAGGTCTGACTTGGGATGCTGGACCTCACACACCTGGCCCAGAAGCTGCTGATTCTAAACCTCCTTAGGTGGCCCTAAGGTTTGGGGTGCTGGATGCTGGGCCCCACTCTCCTGGCCCAGAGGTGCAGGTTCTTGCCCCTTTAGCCCAAGCTTTGGCAAAGTGTCCATTTGCTTCCTCAGCCTGGCTTGGGTTAGTTGTCCACAGCCTGCCTCCCCAGGCTGGGCCTCAAAGAAGGCAAGAGTGACTGGTGACTGCCATGCATGATGGGGGCAGCAGGGAGGCCACGGCATTGAGGCAGCATGGCCCTTGCAGGTAGCAGCATCCTGGCTGGGGCCCCAGGCTTGTCCCCACATGCCTTCCTGACCCTCAAACCAGGAACAGGACAACAGCTAGCAGCCCCCGGAACTTGATTCCATGCTTGCAAGCCTCACAGCACCTCAGGACTCCAAGGCCCAGCAACAGCAAAGACCACGGGTCTTCAGGAGACAAGTGTGGCCCTAAGCTATACCCTGCCTAGCCTCTGGGGGCCCTCCCACACTCCTGCTCAGCGGTCCCCACTACCTGCCATCCCCTGTGGTGTGGCCCAGGACATCCATTCTGTGAGGACGTCTCGGAGCCCCGTATAGAGCATGGTCTGATGGAGACACTTGGGTCTGGGTCCCACCCATGAATGTTAGGGACAGTGTGCCCTGCTCTCCTTCTGCAGGCCAGACATGACCAGCCCCTGCTCATTGGAGTCAGGAGGGGTGCTCAGGTCCCCCACTTCCCTCCTGAGGGCAGTGCCCAGCAACCAGCTCAGAAACCATGCCCCCTCCTCCCAGGACAGACGGGAGGCCGCTCTGCAAGTAGCAGGCCCTCTTAAGCCCCCTCCCTCAAGGGCAGTGCCCAAGAGCTGATTCAGTAAACCATGTCCCCTCACAAGATAGACAAGAGGCCGCTTTGCAATGGCCGTGACTGCAGACCCCTTTGTGTTTGCAACGAGCAGCACCTTCTGGAATGCTGTATGGTTCTGCAGAGAAGACCTGACTAGGTCTTCCTATAACAAGACCCTGGGCAGAGCCCCCATTCGCCCACAGCTTGCTCAAGAGCAGCCCATTCAGTGGAGGACTCCACTCACAGATAATAGTGTCCCCAGGGAGGTTGTGACCAGGGCAGCAGGTTTTGGGAATCCGGAACTGACAGGGTCGGTGCCAGCACTGCAGGGGATGTGGCTGCCTCCTTGTGCCCTAACATGCAAGCCCTGGGGGGAGGACCAGAGGGACTCCAGGGACTTTCCCAGCCCAGCAGCTGGTGACCCCATGCTTACCTTCAGGGCATCCCAGGAACGAAAGATGGGTATCAGCCCAGCCTGGGAGTCTGTGCCAGCTGGTGCTCCTCTTCCTCCCACCCCTGTGTCCTGGCTGCTCTGCACCCAGCGCCAGCCCCACAGGCCAGCACTCCCCCAGCACCCGTCTGAGGACTGCTCTGCACCAGCACCCAGTGCCATCTGAGCTTGCTAACGCATGCCCCCAGAGCCATCATTAACAAATTACCCAGCGCCCTAATTATAGGCACTACAATTACAGCTCCAGCTGCAGCCAGGTGGGGGGTGGGGAGGGGGGGGGTTGTCCCACAGCCCTCCTAAGGGCGCCTGTGTTCCAAGAGCCAAAGAGGAGCGTTTAAAGTTCCATTGGCTCCCTGCCCCTGCAGGGCCTCCTGTCTGAACCCTGGGTAGCCCACAAGCTCCGCTGGAGAAGTGAGTTATAGGTCGTGGTAGCTGTGAGGCCCAGAGACAGGGAGGACAGGACTGCCTAGGGGTGGACACACAATGTGCCAAAGGGCCAGGAGAATGTTCTGGAAGGCCGGCCTAGGCCGCTATTCCAGGAGACCCGCAGGGGCAGCAGCAGGAGCCTTCTCTACAACTGAATCGGGGTTGGCTGCTGCAGCCATGGGGCTGGGCACATAATTGAAAGGGGGAACCCGGGCTGAGCGGCTGGGGGAGCCATGGCGGCTGGCAGGGAAGCCCCCCGCTGGGATGCTCAGGCCCTCGTGGGTGAAGGGGGCAGTGGGGGGCGCCTTGGGAGGGCTAGGCCCATCCACGTCGCTTCCTAGGGTCCCAGGGCCTCCGGCTGGACTCTGGGGTGGCTCCCGGCTCTCCAAGCTAGGGGAGGTGCTGAAGTTGGTCTTGGGAGTCAAGAAGTCTTCAGTCTGAACCACTGCATCGCTGGTCTTGCGCGGTGGGGAGGGGCCATTAGGGGTCCCTTCGGGAGCCTCAGTGCCCACCAGCGGCAGGGCTGAGGCCGGCAACGTGCTGCGCAGGATATGGGGGACATCCTCATCCCGGATGCGCCGCCACGTGGTGCCTGGGGCGGCCACCCTGGGCAGGCCACGAGGCTCGCCGTCACTGCCGCGGCGAGCACCGTCGACCAGGGGCGCGGGGCCAGCGTTGTCCGGACCGCGGGCCACGCTGATGTGCGGCAGCGATGCATAGCGCCGGACCGCCTCGGGCTTGGTTGTCTGCGTGAGCACCGGCAGGCGGCTCGGGCTCTCCGAGCTGGTGCGCCGGGGCGGACGTGCAGCCGGGCTGGGCACAGAGCGGCCCGCAGCCGTCCGCGCTGGGGTTGGGGGGGCCCGAGGGGGTGCACGGAGTTCGTCACAGCGAGAAGAGCAGAGGAACACGGCGGGCAGCGCAGGGCGACCGCGGCGAGGCGAGCCAGCTGGCGAGGTCCTGGGGGCTTCTGCCGGAGCCAGTTCAGCGCGGCGGCGGCGCGCCAGACCCGGGGTCTCCTTGATGAAAGTCAGCTGCCTCCGGAAGCCAGAGCGCTCCGAGGACTCGCTGCCGCTGGAGCGTGCCGAGCCCAGACGCACCAAGCCCAGGCGGCCCCCTCGTGCTCCCGCGCCACCGTCGGCGCCTGCACGACCCCGGGGCCCCGGCTCCCGCGCCGTTTTGGCGAGTGGCGGAGGCACGCGCCGCGCCGGCTTCTGCATGAACGGGATGCGCACTGGGGACTTCTGCGTCTTGTGCGCCTTGGCCAACAGCGCCCGCGCCGGCGTCCTGGGTCCGGACGAGGAAGTGCTCGGCCCGGGCAGGGGTCTCGGCGGGGTGCTCGAGGGACACTTCCTAGGCGGTGGCGGGGTGCCAGGGGAGCTCTGTGAGGAGCCAGATGAGGGCGTCTTGGCCAAGCGCGCAGGTGGCGTGGCGCTCCTTTGCGGGGGGCTGCGCGGCGCCAGCTCCGAGATCTTGCCCGGCCTGTGCAGGCTGCGAGACCTCGAGGGGCCGGGCCCGGGGGCCGGGGCTGGGGCAGGGACAGGAGAGGCTGGCTGAATGGGACCAGGCGGCCCGGGCTTCCGGAGGCCAGTGCGAGGACCCGGCGTGCCTTTGAGCTGTCCCCGGGGAGCGGGGCTGGGCACATAAATGACCGTCCGGCCCCGCAGCACGGCAGGCATGCCGGACGCTGCCTTCTGAGCGCCACGCGGCTGCTCGAGGCCACTGCGGTCAGCCCCAGCACGTCTCTCGGGCCGTCCCGTGCAGCCCAGCTGGCCCTCCGCCTGCGGCCGCCGCCCTTTCCGATCTACATTGGGTGCTGATGCAGAGGGCAGGCCGGAGTCCGCTTCCGTCTCCTGGGTGGCCGCCGCTGCCGCCGCCTGGTGCAGCCAGGTGACAATGGAGTTGGCGCCCTCCTGGATGGCCCGCCAATCGACGCTGTCGAGGTCCGAGGCACCAAGATCCGAGCCAGCCCCCTCCTCGCCACGCTCCCGAGCCGCCTCGGCTGGGGGCAGGGCTGTTCCAGGCTTTCTCCGCCGGGACCCCGACACCGGGGGCCGGCGCCTGGACATAGCCGAGCCAGTGCAGCGCCGCACTAGTTCCTGCTCAGCCTGTGGGCGAGGTGACCCGCTGCCACGCGCAGCAGCCAAGCCTGAGCCCTTGTTGGCCGCAGAGTCCTGGCTGCTGTCCGCCATGAGCTCTGGCTCAGGCTCACTGAGGGAGCTGACGGATGAGCTGAGCGAGTAGCAGGGTGGCGTCTCGTCGGCAATGAGGCTGGGGTGCACCCGGGCAGGTGGCAGGGCCTTGGGTGTGACTCTGGAAGAATCCTTCCGGCCTGCCTGGTGCTCCCTTTTTAAGGACCGGGGGATGGCAGACGCCCGCCGACGGTGCTCAGTCGCGGCGGAGGGCTCCTCCTCGTCGGACTCATTGTAGAAGCAGTACACGGCCTCCTCAGTGGGCGTGGTGAGGCAGAGAGACTGCATGCCCCCGTCCCGGTGGGCCAGGCCCGAGCTGGATCCCTCGTGGTCAGAGAGAGCACTGGGGGACCGGCCGAGGGGCAGCTCCATGCCCGTGCAGCTCCTGCCTTTCCCAGGGCTCGGCTCTGCACTCCGGCCCACACCCCCGGCCCTGTGTCGCGGGCCTGGGGCCTGCCTGGAAGAGGTGGGGCGACTGGCCTGAGCCTGCCTGACCGGCAGGTCTCGAGGTAGCCCCTGCAGGGTCTCGTCGCTGAGCGAGGCTGCGCTGGAGAAGTTAACGGGCGTGCCTTCGGCCGAGTCACTGCCCGAGTCTTCATCGCCCGCCGGAGCGGGTACCAGCATGTACACTGGCACAGGTAGCGCGCGGTGGTGGCGGCGGCGGCGGCCAGGCACCAGCTCAGAGGCCACTTTGCACATGCGGGCAGGCACGGCGGCGCCCAGGCACGCACGCAGCAGCTCCAGCTCCGCGTCGGTGGCAGCGGCAGGGGGGCAGCCACGGGGGGCGGCGGCAGAGGCCGGCGCCTCCAACCGGGCACCCACCTCGTCAGGCCGTCGGTGCCCTGCGAAGCCGCTGCGCTCTGGACGCACGGGCGGCAGCAGGCGCAGCTCCACGTCCTGCTGCACGTAGTGCTCGTGCAGGGGCAGCGCGCTCAGACTGGAGGCGCAGGAGAAGTTCTCGTCCGGCTTCTCCACAGTGAAGCGCACGCTGCCCGCGTCCAACTCGGAAGGCAGGCGGCAGCGCTCGCGGCAGTCAGCGATGTCCAGGAAGCGCTTCACGTAGCTCTCCCACTGCAGGCAGAACTGGCTGGCGGCCCCGCCCCGCTCAACCGGCCCCGGCCCCGCGGCCGGCGGCGTCTTGCTCCGGCTGGGCGGCATGGTCTGCCCGGGGCTGTCGGGCAGCTCGCTGGGGCTCACCGTGCCACTGCCCAGGCCGCTGCAGGGCTCGCTGGCTACCGAGCTGGCGATGGAAGGGCTCTCGAAGCTGCCCAGCGAGCTGACGGAACTGCAGCGGCTCAGCACCAGCGGCGTCTCCTGCACGCAGTTCTCCGACGAGCTCGAGGGTGTAGCGTCCTCCGCGCCCAGGCCCCGGCCTCTGCCCCGGCGCGGCGCAGGGATGGCGACCGGAAGTGAGGCTCCGGGGGCGCGCCAGGCCGCACCAGGGGTTGACTCGCCGGGCCCAGCCTCCTCCAGCACTTCCAGGGACGAGTCGCTGTCGCCCAGGTCGCCGCCCTCGCTGGGGCCCGGGCGGCCAGCCGAGGACAGCGAAGACAGCGAGCTGCAGCGGGACAGGCAGAGCGCCGCCGTGTCCCCCGCCGCAAGCGTGGGCGGCAGCTCGGGGGCGGGGCACTCAGCTGGAAGCCAGGCTTGAGCGCGCATGGGAGGCACAGCTCCTGCCCTGGCCATGCCCTCGAGCAGCGACACGTGCTGGTACGTGGGTGACAACTTTATGGTGCGCACGCGTGCGTCCACAGGCCCTCGGCCCGGGGGCTCTGCCCGGCCCCCCGAAGGGTCCAGGTCCAGCCGACCTGGCCTCACGGGCCCACACTGGGGGTCCTCGCGGTGTTCGGCCAGCACGGCCAGCGGGCAGGGCCGCATGTGCTCGCGAGGGCAGTAGCCGTCGCTGGTGCTGCCGCTGTTGAGACTGTCATTGGACAGGCTGGTGTGCGCCGCCTTGAGCCTCAGCAGCGGGTGGGCCCGGCTACCTGCCTCTCGCCGATGCTCCTCGGCCCCCCTGGCCGGCGAGCAGGACTGGGAGCGGCCCGCCCGTGGTGGCAGCGGAGCCTCCTGCCCGGCGTCGCCCGCGGAGCTGAGGCTGAAGCTGTCGTCGGAAGAGGTGTGCAGGGCAGAGATGTCCTCTACTAGCCGGTCTATGCGCGCGACGGCCAGCGTCAGCCTGGCCTTGGCAGCCACGGCCACCTCGCCGCCAGCAGCCTCCTTCTCGGGCTCAGGGCCCCGGCGGGCGGGCGGGGTGCGGGCCAGTGCCTGGCCCTGCAAAACGGGGCTGCCCAGGAAGTGGGGCAGAATGGCTGGGCTGGGGGCCTCGGTGGCAGCGCTGGCTCCGGCCGCCAGGGAGGGCACATCATCCTCGTCGAAGCAGCCCGAGTCAGACGCATAGTCCTGGGCCGGCCCCTCCAGGTGTCTCAGGGGCGCCAGGGGCTTTTTAGTGGCTGGCACGGACACTGGCAGGCTCTCCTTGTCCAGGTGGTCGAGTGCCTGAGTCAGGTGCTGGGCATCCAGCTCAGCCTCGAGTGCCCGCTGCTTGCGCACGTATAGGCTGGGCACGCAGGTGCCCGGGGATACAGCCATGGCCGCCGCCTGGTATTTGGCCGGCCGGTGAGCCAACAGGTTGCGCAGGGCGGCAGCGCTGCCCAGGGCAATCATCTTGTGCTTGGAGTGGACCAGGTTGCGTAACATACCCACAGCGCCCAGGTCCCAGAGCAGTTCCTGGTCTCGTGGGCTGCGCGCCGACAGGTTCCAGAGCGTGCCGCAGGCATTGCTGACGATGGTCAGGCTGTGTGAAGTCAGGTGCTGCAGCAGCGTCTGCAGGCAGTTGTGATCTCGAAGCACCTGCCTGGGGGGCAGGGTCAAGGGAGCTGGTCACCCATTGTCCCCACCACACACCACGCCCGCGAGGCCCTGGGTGGCCGGGGTAAGCTGGAATTTCAGATGCGCTCGAGAAGCTGGCGTGAGTCTGTCCCAAACTCGTGCTAAAAGGAACCTTCTTGATTTTTTGTACTAAAGAATAAAGTCTGTGAATATTACTTGATAAATGTGGCCTTATCTTAATAACTCTGCATTGTTATTTTAGTAATTAATTTTTTTTAATTTAGTAATTAATTTTTAGCAAGAGAAGTAGAGAAGTAAAAAGAAACACATCTTATAAGGAATAAGCATTTGTTACTTATATATTACTTAGAAAACACCAGGGCCTGTCAAAAAGGTCATGGGAAAATAGAATGAAAAGACCTGAATTTTTCCAATAACTTTTTGAAGCCACCCATACTACCTTATTTTAATATTTTAATAGATGATATTTTAGTGTAAGTATATAAGTACTACAATAAATACATTTTAGTTATTTTGTACATAGTTTAATGCTATCCCATGAAAGGGAATATATGAGTTATTTTAGTAACAAGCACAACTATTAAGATAGATCGATTTAATTTGCTTTAACAATAGCAAGCATTCCTCATGTAAGCCCAAAGCAAACTCTGAGTCCACTCGGACACACAGGGAGCCAGAGGACAGGGTAGAACTGCCCGTGGGAGCCCGAGACTCTAACCCTACCACGGAGAAACACTTGTCTTTCTCCCACGGAGCAGCTGCTGGTTTCAAACTGCTCACCTTGCAGTTAGCTGCCCAATGCACAGCCGCTGGGTGCCCAGGGAGGAGTGCTTCGTAGCTACACTTGTCCTAATACATGCGTTCAGTTTACCTTAAGCAGCATAAGCACATTGAGTGCTAAAAGTAAATAAATGGATAGGTAACAAATAGTATTAAAATATCTGGTAACTAATATGCTTTATGGTAATAGATTTCTAAGTCCCTATTATTAAATGTATTCTTATTATTTAATAAATTATACATGCTTCCCTTATAATAAAATGACACCACAAGCATCATTAGTTCTACTTGTAAGTACTATTTTATTTACTGGGGAGTCCTGGTGGTGGAGTGAGTTACATGGTATCTTCTCAGAAAACCAAGGGCACAGGTTGACATTGTCCTTTGGGGGTCACAATAGGGTCCAGTGAGTGGGACTTCACTCGGTGGTCGTGGAAAATCATGGAAATTTTATTTATTTTAATTTAAATTTTGAATTAATAAACAGATTTCAGTACATAATTAAGTAAATTTTATTTTGTTTAATAAAATAAGGACCATTGTACTATGTTAACTAGTATTTTACTTTAATAATGAAACTTGAGATGCCAAGACCTGCCCCCGAAGTCTATTTTTGGGATTCCTCGGGGACTTCATCGCTTTGCCCCCCTTGCTGCTCTGTTGCCCTCCCTTCCCATTCCACCAGGCATGGAGGGGGTCAGACAAGGTATAATTCCTGCACTGTGTCTCCCAGGTTGTCCCCCATAGCACTATGGGTCAGTGAGGAGATGCCGTGTCTCGTGGTGGGGCCAGCCTGTGCAATGGTTGTTCTGAGCAGGACTAGCCTCCTGGGGCTTGGTGAGCCAGGCTACATTCCACTCTCTCGCTCTCCCTGCCCCAGTCCCTCTTAGTTTGCTCCTCGTGTTCTAAGAAGACTACGTATTCTATTCTCCCCAAGCTGTAGCTTCAGTGCTGTTCTCTGCAGTGCATTCTTATAGGGAGGGGGACTCGATCGGAAAACATTCATAAAGGTCAACAAACAGACCTAGAACTATCTATAGGCTTTTCCCCCCAGGTATATGTATATAAGATAGGCAGGATAAACAATCCTGAGGAGAAAACAATGGGGCTGCCAGTTTCAGGGGGGACACGGGAGAGGGAGAGGTGGGGGAAAGGAAGGGTGCACCCAACAATCCCAGGGACAAGGGAACAACAGTGATCTAAAATCGATGGCGAGGAAGGTGTAGGATGCCTGGTGGGGTTTGATCAAGTGCAATGTAGCCAGGAATTACTGAGAGCCGAATGAAGGTCGAACATGATATTGGGACAGGAGGAAAGTAAAAGGAAATAGAGGAAAGAACTAGGAAGCAAAGGCCATTTATAGAGGTATAAATACAGGATGTACATATGGAAGTTTATATATAATGAAAGGGAAATAGATCTATGTACATATATTTATATGTTAAGTATTAAGGTAGCAGACAGATATTGGACCTCCATTCAAGTACTCCCTCAACACAAGAACACTTTCTTCCAATAACCTGGCATTCTGATGCTCACCTTCACGACAAAATGGGTGCATAAGCTAATGTGGTGAAGGAAGCTGATGTTGCCCGGCTACTAAAAGAAATAGCATCTGGGGTCTTAAAGGCTTGAAGGTAAACAAGTGGCCATCTAGCTGAGAAGCAACAAAGCCCACATGGAAGAAACACACCAGCCTGTATGATCAGGAGGTGTCAACGAGATCAGGTATCAGGCATCAGAAGACCCAAAACGAGCAATCATATTGATGTGAAAGAGGGAGGCGTAGTGGAGACCCAAAGCCCATCTGTAGACAAATAAACAGAAGGATCACAAGGAAGGGACAACCCAGCCAGGGTGCAGTATAGCACCAATTAAATATACAACATGCCTCTAGTTCTTTAATGCTTCCTCACCGCCCACTGTCATGACCCCAGTTCTACCTTACAAATCCAGCTAGACCAGAGCATGTATACTGGTACAGATAAGAGCTGGAAACACAGTGAATCCAGGACAGATAAATCCCATAGAACCAATAATGGGAGTATCGATACCATGAGGGTAGGGGGAAGGTGGGGGGAGAAAGGGGGAACCAATCTCAATGACTGATGAATACCACCCTGCTGCCCCCACCCCCCACATACACACACACACTCAAAGTGATGAACAATGGGTAAAGAGAAACAGCGGACAGTGCAAGATATGAAAGTAATGATAATTTGTAATTTATCAAGGGTTCATTAGAATAGGAGGGTGGAGCAGCTGATAGCAAGGGCTCATAGCAAGGGCTCAAGTAGAAAGAAAATGTTTCGAAAAGGATGATGGCAACAAGTGTACAAATGTGCTTGAAACATTGGACGTATGGATTGTTATAAGAGCTGTAAGCTCCCCAATAAAATTAGAAAAAGAAATTTGACCATAAAAATACAAATATTAAATACACTTTTATTATGATTATTTAACAAATTATTTGGGGGACCAGCCCCAATCCCAACTACTATGTGGATACCTGCCCCTCCCCCCAGAAGAATTTATTTCAAAGGACGGCATTGAATCTGCAGCTCCGGGAGAAGGATATATCTGACCAGAGCACATGGGTGCAGATGAAGGGGGCGGAGGAGAGAGTGGAGCGCATCCTGGCCCACCAGGGCGTGAGGACGATGATCCCAATTAGAGCAGCCAGTCCACAGAGAGGACCACAAAGCCGGCCCCACTATGAGACATGACG